TGCTACTGGTACTGCTGCTGCTGCTGCTGCTCCTGTTGCTACTGCTGATACTGGTAGTGCTGCTACTGGTACTGCTGCTGCTGCTACTGGCACTGCTGTTACTGGTACTGCTGCTGCTACTGGTACTGCTGCTGCTGCTACTGGCACTGCTGTTACTGGTACTGCTGCTGCTACTGGTACTGCTGCTGCTGCTACTGGTACTGCTGCTGCTGCTGCTGCTGCTGCTGCTGCTCCTGTTGCTACTGCTGCTGCTAGACACATCTAATACTTTATGTAGGGCATACGTAAATCTGTGTATCTATGTATTTACGTATGTAGGTTAGCTTAACATTTTAAAAGCACCGAATCACCTTCTGTGGTTGAGTGTTCAATAAACCCTTGAACTGTATGTTTAACACTTCTCTAACCCTGTCCATGGAGGACAGAAGAAAATGTATATATGCTGGTTAGCATTGTAAATGTGTGGCCACGTCTGTGGTAGAAAATAATAAAAAAAAAAAAAAAAAAAAAAAAAACTGCTGCTGCTACTGCTGCTACTGGTAGTGCTGCTACTGGTAGTGCTGCTACTGCTGCTGCTGCTGCTGCTGCTGTTGCTGCTGCTGCTCCTGTTGCTACTGCTGATACTGGTAGTGCTGCTACTGGTACTGCTGCTGCTGCTACTGGCACTGCTGCTACTGGTACTGCTGCTGCTACTGGTACTGCTGCTGCTGCTACTGGCACTGCTGCTACTGCTGCTGCTGCTGCTACAGCAGTAGCAGCAGCTGCGGAATGACATTTCCGTTGTTTACGTCCTTCAAGTTGTTATTCCATTGCTTTTTTGGTCTTTCATCAGTTTAAACTAACACTTTATAGCACACTTATATTTTTCCTTAGTTTTATAACTTTAGTGAGAGAGAGAGAGACAGAGAGAGAGAGAGAGAGAGAGAGAGAGAGAGAGAGAGAGAGAGAGAGAGAGAGAGAGAGAGAGAGAGAGAGAGAGAGAGAGAGAGAGAGAGAGAGAGAGAGAGAGAGAGAGAGAGAGAGAGAGAGAGAGAGAGAGAGAGAGAGAGAGAGAGAGAGAGAGAGAGAGAGAACAAACAACTGGCCACAAGCGTGTAGACACAACAAGCACCAGCAGCCAGTGTTAATAACATAGAAAAACACGTCACGACGTCTTGAGGTACTTAACTGTTGTGACCTGCACAGGGTGAGACGGTCCTCCTCCTCCTGCACCGCCTGGTGCTGCGCCTCCAGGGGCCAGATTCACGAAGCAGTTACGCAAGCACTTACGAGCATGTACATGAGAGGCGGGACCAAAGAGCCAAAGCTCAACCCCCGCAAGCAAAATAGGTGTGTACATCTTTCCTCAATCTTTGACGGCTTTGGTTACATTTATTAAACAGTTTACAAGCATGAAAACTTGCCAATCAACTGTTGTTATTGTTATAAACAGCCTCCTGGTGCTTCGGAGCTCATTAACTGTTTCATAATTGTAAACAAAGCCGTCAAAGATTGAGGAAAGATGGACAGGTTCGTAAGTCCTTGCGTAACTGCTTCGTGAATCTGGCCCCTGGTTCGTAAGTCCTTGCGTAACCGCTTCGTGAATCTGGCCCCTGGTGCTTCTCCTAATCCCCCTCTAATAGCATCACTCTCGCTCGCCTGGTAAGTTCAAGTTCAAGTATGTTTATTGAGATAAGAAAGAAATACATCTCAAAGGGATACAGTATCTTAGGCTATTTCTACCCTCATTAGCTTGTAAATACGTGTCGAAAACACTCATCTTCATCTCCAGAGACCTATTGATAACTTCAGAAACCACCCGAGGACCGCAACGACCCAGGTGACCAGGTAGGTAGAAACCCAAGATCACCCCCTCGATATCTTGAGACCGACACAAGATATCACAACAACCTGTCAAAGAACCTGAGAGTTAATGTGAGAAGAAACCCACGAGAATGTGTTGGCGTCTTTAGCACTTGAAGAAAACAATCGAAATTCAATAAGATATTAAAATGGCTAGAAACCTGAGCTGAAAACAGTGAGAGAGATTTACGACTCATCAAGAAACCCAAACGTTCTCGCCAAGAGACCGGAGATCACCACACACTAGCTAGAAACCCAAATGACTTTTTTAATGAAATCCTTCTGACGGGAGACAGAGGAAGAGTCGTATTGAAACAAGTGGCAGGTGGGTGACCAGGTGGGTGGGCAGGGGTCAGGTGGATGGGTGGGCGGACAGGTAGGTGGGCGGCCAGATAGGTGGGCGGCCAGGTAGGTGGGCGGCCAGGTAGGTGGGCGGCCAGGTAGGTGGGCGGCCAGATAGGTGGGCGGCAGGTAGGTGGGCAGGTAGAGAGAAGAGGGCGTTTATGGTGGCAACCTTTCAGCTTTTAAACACTGGTCCTGAGGGTGACCTGCTTCACCAGAGAGGGAGAGGGAAGGCAGGGAGGGAGAGAGGACTAGAGGGAGGGCAATAGACGGAAGGATGGATCACATGTGTTGAGTGATGGACAGCAATTCCTCATTTCTGAAACCAGGGGTCAAGTGGGCAGGTGGCTGTTAATAGCCCCACTTTAGGAACCACTACTAGGTGAGGGTGGGCAGCAGGTGAGGGTGGGCAGCAGGTGAGGGTGGGCAGGAGGTGAGGGTGGGCAGCAGGTGAGGGTGGGCAGGAGGTGAGGGTGGGCAGCAGGTGAGGGTGGGCAGCAGGTGGGCGGCAAGTCTCCGGCTGGGTTAGGACTGCTCTTAGCACACAAAAATCAATATAAATAATGGTGGAGGGGAGGGTGGTGGTGTTTTGTGTTATAGCTCTCGTAAATACCGAGGAGGCTGCGAGCCCCATCCCTCCCCTCCCCCCTAATTATTGGCGGGGGGGGGGCAGGAATGAAGGGGCAGGGGTGAAGGGGACAGCTGTGAAGGAGCATTTGGAAGGAGGGGTGCAAGGGGGAAGAAAATCAAGGGGTGAGGGAGAAGAGAGAGGGAGAGAGAGAGGTGTAGAAGGAGAGTCGGGAGTAGCGAAGATGGGTAGGAGGAAGGGAAGGAGAGAGAGAAAGGTTGGCTAAAACAAAGTGGTTGTGTAGGCCGAGGGAGACGGGACGAGGACAGAGGACAAGACGGTAAACAAACTTCCTGTAGATGACAGTGTCGCTGGCGACTATCCCCAAGACTCCCTATCCCAGGACGACCTCCGCCATCACCTGACCACATTTAGGCTTCCTGGGGAAAACAACTCTACTTGTGGCGCCTTATCACTCCACAGCCAATAACATCCAGTCATGTGACCCCCTTGCCTCTGATTGGCTCAGACATATGTGACCGCTTGCCTCTGATTGGCTCAGTTACATACGACTACCAGTAGAGCCTCTAGGTCACCTCGTGTATAATTTGGTTAACACAGAGACGAACTTATGTTAAATGCCTTAGAATTTCCTAATTAATTCCCGTTGTTGGGAATTAATTAGGAGCTTCTGGACCAACTGCTGACCTTTACAGGATGCAAACCACAACAGCTACGTGACCATTTGTTCTGATGGCACCGAGGATTGGACCCCAAGTGTATGGATTGCCAGGCAAGAACGTAGACCACTGTGCTTTCTAACACAACAGCTCCTTGGCCAATTTATGTTGTATAAGAGGTGGGGAATGTTGTTACGTCTCTCAACTGTGAGGAAATGTGTACTAGAATACGGGTATGTAACTTTGTTACACATGCTCACACACACACACACACACACACACACACACACACACACACACACACACACACACACACACACACACACACAAGTCTTCTGCGCACGCCCGCGCGCGCTCACTTGATAAGCAAGTGTCGTAGTAAGATATGAGATATTAATTGCTGTCAGTCCACAGCTTGTCAGGGCTGATCACCCAACTGTCATGATGCGAGAGGCGCCAATCAACCACCGTCACTTTCCCCTCCACACCCACACACCCACACCCGTCACTTTCCCCCACACCCACACACACCACACTCACTCTCCCTCCACACCCACAGACACACACAGACACACACACACTTCTACCATAGTACAAATTTTCACTCATACTCTATTAACCTCATATTGTCGAGACTTAGACAGCTGCTACGGGCCGCTTCCTGGGGGATGTATAACAAAAAGGAGGCCTGGTCCCTGTAAACCCACATTGAGGTAAACCATATCGTACGAAGACACCTGCGTCACCCCCACCCCCTTCCCCCCAATGAGGAAGCCTAGGCGGCCCAACTCTGCCGTGGGAAGATCAGAGACTTGGTCACTCCGTTCCCGGAGGAGCGAGACGGAGGTCGTAACCCAACTACTCTCCCACATGAAGTATGCCGTCGGTTACCTGATTCTGAGGCGTCGACAGGCTATCCTCTCCTCCCACAGCTCCTTCAGACATGTTCCCTCGACACTGGCGGCACTTAACCTCATGCCCTGGGGTGTAAGCGGTCAATTGGGGGACATATAACCTGGTGATTACCCCCTTGTCCGAAGAGTCCGAAGTCCGAAGCGGCAAAGAGTAGCGCCGCCGCCCCTCTCCAGAGATACGTCTGAAGGTCTTCCATTGTTGTATCTCCGTCAGTGAGGTCCTGGCTGACCGTAGGCAGGACCTCACCTGGCAACTTGACAGGCAGGACCTGCGTCCTCGTGGTGTGGGCGGTTATGGCGCCCTCAGCACCACCATCGCCAGAACCCGCCGCCATGACGCTCGGGTTCCAGAAGCTTCCATTTAGCTTTCTTTCACTTGTAGAACCATCAACTAACTCCTAAGGTTAAGTCTTGATCTTATTTTCAGCTACGGGTTAAGTTTGAGGGATATCCATATATTTTCAATCATCAAGAACTTACCTGTGATGTGTTTCAAGAGTTCCGTTCTTGCCGCTCTTTGTGAGTGCTATTTAGTTCTCACACCTCAACTGGTGTGAGTGAGACAGCCCGCAGGTGGGATAATGAGACACATCCTGCCCCCAAGGTGTCGCTCTCATCACTCCTGGTGTCACGATTCAGCCTAATTTTGCCCTAATGAGGCTCGTAGAAGTTCTTTTCCCGCCAGAGGCCTTAAACCCCAGGGAAGCCAACCTCTTCCCAAGTAACCCCAGGGGAGCCAACCTCTCCCCAAGTAACCCCAGGGGAGCCAACCTCTCCCCAAGTAACCCCAGGGGAGCCAACCTCTCCCCAAGTAACCCCAGGGGAGCCAACCTCTCCCCATGTAACCCCAGGGGAGCCAACCTCTCCCCAAGTAACCCCAGGGGAGCCAACCACTCCCCAAGTAACCCCAGGGGAGCCAACCTCTCCCCAAGTAACTCCAGGGGAGCCAACCTCTCCCCAAGTAACCCCAGGGGAGCCAACCACTCCCCAAGTAACCCCAGGGGAGCCAACCTCTCCCCAAGTAACTCCAGGGAAGCCAACCTCTTCCCAAGTAACTCCAGGGGAGCCAACCTCTCCCCAAGTAACTCCAGGGAGCCAACCTCTCCCCAAGTAACCCCAGGGGAGCCAACCACTCCCCAAGTAACCCCAGGGGAGCCAACCACTCCCCAAGTAACCCCAGGGGAGCCAACCACTCCCCAAGTAACCCCAGGGGAGCCAACCTCTCCCCAAGTAACTCCAGGGAAGCCAACCTCTTCCCAAGTAACTCCAGGGGAGCCAACCTCTCCCCAAGTAACCCCAGGGGAGCCAACCACTCCCCAAGTAACCCCAGGGGAGCCAACCACTCCCCAAGTAACCCCAGGGGAGCCAACCTCTCCCCAAGTAACCCCAGGGGAGCCAACCTCTCGAAGATCCCCCAGATTTCCATAGCATGATAATCTACATGTAGTGGACGCCTGCAGAGCGGTTTAGCAAGACGACTGGAACCCCGTGCAGACCTCTACTCGCCTCCCCTCCCCTTGGAGGACACGAAGGGGGCCCTCCATCCACCTACCACGGGGGCCCGGCGTGTCTCACAGCTCGCGGGCCACCACACGCTTCCCACATAACCACTCTCCGTTCCAACAAGCAAAATTATGTTACTCCAATTGTGGCTTTACACGCAGTCAGTGATGCCTCCGTCCCCTGGGGGGAGGACTCTCTAAGAGAGAGAGAGAGAGAGGAGAGATGAAGAGAGAGAGAGAGAGAGAGAGAGAGAGAGAGAGAGAGAGAGAGAGAGAGAGAGAGAGAGAGAGAGGAGAGAGAGAGAGAGAGAGAGAGAGAGAGAGAGAGAGAGAGAGAGAGACAGAGACAGAGACAGAGAGAGAGAGAGAGAGAGAGAGAGAGAGAGAGAGAGAGAGAGAGAGAGAGAGAGAGACAGCCAGACAGAGACTCATTAGCAGGCAAGCGGTACACACACAAGAGATATTAATGAGATGCAGGGGTGATACCTTCTTCTTAAGTTGCAATGTTGCAAGATGGTGACAGTGCAACTTGATCCTTATAGCCATCCCGATAGTGATGCCAACCTTAACCCTCCTTTACACACCCTCACCATCACTCACCATGACTGCACAAGTAACTATACTTCATCACCCACTATCACAAATCTACCATAAAACACTCATGACAGGAAATCTCCCAGAATTCTGGAAAACAGGGAACGCATTCCCAATATTTAAGAGACGGGAACAGACAGGAAGCACTAAATTACAGAGCATCGTTACTAACAAGTCTTCCGTGTCAAGTGCTGGAGAAAATGATGAGGTTGAGAGTGATGGAGCGTCTTAGAGACCGCCAGTTGGGCTACGAGACGGCACCACCAATATAAAAAGGAAAAGTCGTACCTGACAAATTTGATTAACTTCTGTGCCGGAGTTAATACAGTGAGAGGAGAGAGGACTGGGAGGGAACATTGAACTGGGTGAGGGAGTGTCCCCTGTCTCTGTCCCTGTCTCTGTGTTGTCACTGTGTCCCTGTGTCTGTGTTGTCACTGTGTCCCTGTGTCTGTGCTGTCCCTGTGTCTGTGCCTGTGTCTGTGTTGTCCCTGTGTCCGTGTATGTCCCTGTGTCTGTGTTGTCCCTGTGTCCGTGTCTGTGCCTGTGTCTGTGTTGTCCCTGTGTCCGTGTCTGTGTTGTCCCTGTGTCCGTGTATGTGTTGTCCCTGTGTCCGTGTCTGTGTTGTCACTGTGTCCCTGTGTCTGTGTTGTCCCTGTGTCCGTGTCTGTGTTGTCCCTGTGTCCGTGTATGTGTTGTCCCTGTGTCCGTATCTGTGCCTGTGTCTGTGTTGTCCCTGTGCCATCCTGTGTCTTACGACTAGATCGCCACGCTGGCAGCTTTTCCTTCCCACAGCCTTATCTTACTATAAGCTGCTCCTGAGGCGTTGGAATCTCCCGATAAACCACGTGAAACCTTATCTAACCGGTTCTCCCTAGAACACGATCCGCTAATCGGTTAAGAACCAGGGGCCAGATTCATGAAAGCACTTACGAACCTGTACATTTTTTCTCAATCTTTGGCAGCTTTGTTTACAATTATTAAACAGTTGATGAGCTCGGAAGCACCAGGAGGCTGTTTATAACAATAACAACAGTTGATTGGCAAGTTTTCATGCTTGTAAACTGTTTAATAAATGTAACCAAAGCCGTCAAAGATTGAGGAAAGATGTATACGTTTGTAAGTACTTGCGTAAGTACTTTCGTGAATCTGGCCTCAGGTCTGCAATTACTGCTGGGTGAACAGGTACGGACAGTAAATGATCGGTACTCAAGTGTTTATCACTGCCCAGGACTCTAACCCGGCTTACACTGCTTGCGAGGTGTCGAGAGTGCGAAACCGCTACATCTGCACGGTTTCTACCCCAACCTGTTCTCGTCATGGCACGTCACATTTTGACGTACGTTCTTATGCTGGAAAAGAATTTCTTGGTATCTCTACTTCTCCTCTTTCTCTCTTCCTTCTAGGTCTTTTGTCTCACTCTTCCCTCCCTTCCTTTCTCCTCTTTCCTCCCCCCCCCCCAGGATATTATTTAGAGCCAAAACGTCTCTGTTCCCCAGTGACAAGAGATCAAGCGGCCACAGCTCTCCCTTATACTTCTGTCCGAAAAGCTCCCGAACCAGTTGTGTTCTGTTCTCCTCGACTTCCTGTGTCTCGTGCTTCTTTAGCTTGGGGGCACAGAGGCAGGGCTGCATACGCAAGCGTGGGTCTTACGTATGTTGTATACAATGTTCTGAATGAATTCATGTCAAGATGCCAGAGGCTCTTTAGATAATCGATGTCTCAGCACAGGTCGCTAATGTTATTCTGTCCTAGAGGCTGGACTGGGGACCCCTTATCTTGAGGTTATCTTGAGATAATTTCGGGGCTTTAGTGTCCCCGCGGCCCCGTCCTCAACCAGACCTCCACCCCCAGGAAGCAGCCCGTGACAGCTGACTAACACCCAGGTACCTATTTTACTGCTAGGTAACAGGGGCATAGGGTGAAAGGAACTCTGCCCAATGTTTCTCGCCGGCGCCTGGGATCGAACCCAGGACCACAGGATCACAAGTCCAGCGTGCTGTCCGCTCGGCCGACCGGCTCCCTATATGTGGATACCCACATATCCTGTGGCCTTCCTTGGGTCAGACTGAGAAGTCATGCAGTCTCGTTGACTTGTGTGTATAAGTGCAATAGGTAGGCTGAGAGACAGTTCTAGCAACAATCATGGGCCCAAAAGTTTTCATCAGTCTCCCTCTAAACATAAGGAGCATAACGAGCCCAACTTTCACGGTGTTCAAAAGAAAACGTGATACACACCTCTTAAGAGATCAGCCGCGCTGTGAATCATATGTCAGGCTGCGATCAGCTGTCTAACAACCTGGGGCCAGATTCACGAAAGCACTTACGCAAGCACTTACGAACGTGTACCTCTTTCCTCAATCTTTGACGGCTTTGGTTACATTTATTAAACAGTTTACAAGCATGAAAACTTGCCAATCAACTGTTGTTATTGTTATAAACAGCCTCCTGGTGCTTCGGAGCTCATTAACCGTTAAATAATTGTAAACAAAGCCGCCAAAGATTGAGAAAAGATGTACAGGTTCGTAAGTGCTTTCGTGAATCTGGCCTCAGACCTCCAACCAAAAGGCCTGATCGGAACCACCTGAAGGTAACCTTAAGTTATCACCAAGGTAACCTCAGGGTAACCTCAGGGTAACCTCAGGGTAACCTCAGGGTAACCTTAGGGTAACCTCAGGGTAACCTCAGGGTAACCTTAGGGTAACCTTAGGGTAACCTCAGGGTAACCTCAGGGTAACCTCAGGGTAACCTCAGGGTAACCTCAGGGTAACCTCAGGGTAACCTCAGGGTAACCTTAGGGTAAGGGTGTGAACAAGCAGAGTGGACGTACACACACACATTGAGACTTAATATTACAGATGTTATCATTAGATATTATGAGGAGAGGCGGACGTGATGGCCCTGGGTCATTAGAGGTCATTATACAGATGCCTCGTGGCACTATGTGCCAAGCTTGATCACCGCGCCGTCTGCCCAATTAGTACCCAATTGTCTTGATTAGTATGAGATCCAGACTTCGATTACTCAACTACTTGTCGCAACAGCAACAAGTACTTATCATCCACGCGACTCTTTAATGTGAATATATTCAGTCATTAAATACACAATATCTAAGAGAAGTTATATTAATCAATTATAAAGATAAGCAGCACCAGGCACTTACATGGGATCAATAAATGTAACTCTTGCAGATGTTTTAGCTGGCCAGCTTATAATGACCACACCAGTCACTAAGTCTTGACCACACCCACTGTCTTGACCACACCCACTGTCTTGACCACACCCACTGTCTTGACCACACCCACTGTCTTGACCACACCCACTGTCTTGACCATACCCACTGTCTTGACCACACCCACTGTCTTGACCACACCCACTGTCTTGACCACACCCACTGTCTTGACCACACCCACTGTCTTGACCACACCCACTGTCTTGACCACACCCACTGTCTTGACCACACCCACTGTCTTGACCACACCCACTGTCTTGACCATACCCACTGTCTTGACCACACCCACTGTCTTGACCACACCCACTGTCTTGACCACACCCACTGTCTTGACCACACCCACTGTCTTGACCACACCCACTGTCTTGACCACACCCACTGTCTTGACCACACCCACTAAGTCTTGACCGCACCCACTGTCTTGACCACACCCACTGTCTTGACCACACCCACTGTCTTGACCACACCCACTGTCTTGACCACACCCACTGTCTTGACCACACCCACTGTCTTGACCATACCCACTGTCTTGACCACACCCACTGTCTTGACCACACCCACTAAGTCTTGACCGCACCCACTGTCTTGACCATACCCACTGTCTTGACTACACCCACTGTCTTGACCGCAGTCACTAAGTCTTGACCACACCCAGCAAGAAGGACTGCGCATGTGCGCACTAACTACACCTGGTTGATACCTGGTTGATGGGGTTCTGGGAGTTCTTCTACTCCCCAAGCCCGGCCCGAGGCCAGGCTTGACTTGTGAGAGTTTGGTCCACCAGG